GAAATGCTGGAACACTTAAACATTGATGTTATGTTATATAACAGCGATACACAATATACGACACTATTATTTTCACTTGCAAACACCATTGACTTTTTGCAAATCAATCATCCCAGTGATGACATTTCCATATTCGGTGACTTCAATGTCCACAATATCGAATAGCTCAAATTTTGAAATATTCACAATGAACAAGGTCGCGGAGCTAAGGTTTTTGCAAAAAGCAGCGAACTTACTCAGATTATAAATGAGCCAATCAGGATTCCTGACTGTGAAGGAGATTATGCAAGTCGTCTGGATTCATACCAAACCATCAATCTAGAATTTCAAACAGTCATCGTAAGTTTTCTATCGGGATCTTCTGACCACAAACTCATTTCAATGTTGACGGAATTACCGATAAATATTGGAACACAATCTAAGCCGCGCATTGTTTGGCATTACAGATCAGCTGAATGGAAGAATTTTCAAGACCTTTTACGAAATTTTTCCTGGCTAGATGTTTATTTCAGCGTTAGTGATCCATCAACTTGTGCTTCTGAAATCTGATTCAACAAAAATTGCGAGCAAGCCGTCGCCTCCGAAACTCTCGCCTACCGCCAGTGACGAAAACCAAAATAGGTTTGTTGATGATCGCCACAGCTGCAAACTTAGAATAAAGAAAGCAAATAACTTCACCACCAGGGAATTAGGGATAAACTGCTTGTGAATCCCAAAGAGTCTAGATTCTTGTGGTCGGTAGCTAAAGCTGTTAATCAGAACTTTAAAAAATCCACGATTACACCACTCACACAAGTGGATGGTTCAATTGTAGCAACAGTCATGGAAAAAGTAAATTTAATGACTAAACAATTTGCGTCTCACTCCACAATCGATTTTCTGGGAGAGGCACCACCCACTATTCCCACACTACAATCCACAATGCCGTAAATTACGTATCGACAACATCTAGTCAGACGAATTTTGAAACAGCTCAATATCAACACGGCGTCTGGTCCTGATGAAGTGTCCATCATCGATGCCAGGCATAGGTTTCCTTCAAAAAAATAAATGTTTCCGAACCTGATATAATAATATCAGGACAGATAATTCTGCTTTCTGCTTCGTTAAGTTCATTGGAGGTTGGAATTGACACCAATATGTCTTGGCACAATCATGTCAGTGGAATTGCAAAAGCTGCTTTTCAAAATTTTAGAACACTGCCGAACCAGAAAACTGTACACACCTCAACAACTTTTGATACTTTATAAAGCTGAGATCTAACCTTTTGTGGAGTATTCTTTCATGTATGGAGCTCCGCCCGTAAGCATAACCTGAAGCTTGCGACTTCGATCACCTGGAACATCGAAGAATGGTTGTGGATGCGGATTTGTCTCTCTTCTATAGATACTTCCACGGGAAGTGTTCAAGTGACTTAGCACATTTGATTCCACCAAGAGCGGTAAATATCAGAAATACGCGACGGACTGTGGCTGCTCATCGTTTTTAGGTTCAACTCAGTACACCTCGTACTTCACTGTTTAAGAACTCCCTCATTTGGAGAACCACGTTCAGGTGTAATGAACTACCTGAGAACTTTTTTCGAATAGATTTAATCTCTAGCGATTCAAATCCAATGTGAGTCGCTACTTTCGCACAGACACCGCTCTCAAAACGCCTTAAGGATTTCCCTGTAGTGCCTGTGGAAACTCACACACAGCTGGAAACTCAAAGACGTTTTTCGTCTTACTTTAATGATCGAGGAGAACAACACCGAGCTTAGTAAATTGTATCAGCCTGGAAATGAGGAATGAATTGTTCCATTAAATAATACCGCAAATGTTAGGGAGCCTGCAGCAGTTATGTGTAGATATCTGGTGCCTAGCGGCGGTCCTGTGTCTGGTGTCAGGAACATAATGCGAGGAAAGCAAAGATCAGGTGCTTTGATTAACCAACCGACATCTTCAGTGGTGAAGAAAAGACAATGTATTTGCTTATTCCTGCGTAGTCCCATTCCCGGCACTCTTAACTTTGTGTGAAATTATGTGATTATCTGAAAAGATATTTGTGAAGTATTCTAATTACACTAGAAAATTGATATTTCGAAATAAAATATCGAAATAGCCATCTCTCCCTACTACCTACACCGTAGGGTCTGATAAATGTGATATTATCTCTAATTTCACCGACGTTTCGACAAAATCTCATTTGTCATTATCAATGTGTGCTGTTACGTGTTCAGAAATTTGTTGACCTTGCTCAACTCACTTCTTACTATAATGGTAAAATGGTATTCGTTATGTGTTCAGAAATAGATTGGTCCATAAACCCTCTTCTATGGACCAATCTATTTCTGAACACATAACGAATACCATTTTACCATTATAGTAAGAAGTGAGTTGAGCAAGGTCAACAAATTTCTGAACACGTAACAGCACACCTTGATAATGACAAATGAGATTGATTCCGAAAAGATATGATACTTGAGGTCTAACGGACACAATTTGAAAGATGTGCACTTAAAAAATAAATTTTATTGATATCTAATGAAAGTAGAAATTAATTAATCATTGAGTACAGTTGAGAAAGGAATTTCGGTCAAATCTGATGTTGCTTGTAATAGTTTGTTTCCCTCAAAACAAAACTTCAGATGTAGTCTCTTATATACATTGAAACATACTCTCTGAGTTTCAATATTCAAATGCATCTGAATCTTATTTACTGGTATTTCTTTTTCGCATTGTTATTACTATCGTTATTACTATCAGTACCTGTCCAAAGATGCCACATAAAAAAATTTCATGTAATTATAACTGCACCAATATCGAATTTCAACACTCGAATCGCGATGAGTTCCTAAATTGAACACGACGGCGATAACCATCTCCGCATTGCCCGATTCCCATTCGTCACCGTAACATGACTTCAAATTTAATTTTATGACTCTTCAGTCAATCATAAAACTCGGTTAGTAAAAATTATCAATTCTACAGTCCACGTGGACTAGTTCGCAGCCGATTCATTTCTATGTATTTGTTTTTTTTTGCCTTTGAGAGCGCCCCCAACTTTAAATGTTCACAATATCGTTTACTTCGACTATACATGTGATGTTACTTTCCCGCTTGGAGCTGTGTTCACGAGATGTAGCTGTTAGTATTTAACAATACTTCTCTCGAACGAATATTTCATACATGCAGCTTTCAAATCAATAAAATCTCGGGCACTGAACTGTTTGGGATAAATCTTTCCTGCACTGATGAGAAGTAATACTTAGAAACCGGTCTATAGGTGATCTACTCGAATAATTTCAGCATGGTTCTGCTGCTGAATGAACGAGAGACATCTGCGAGACTAACCTCTGTGGGGTTTCTTGCATAAATGTCTGTCGAATATAATTCAATATCCAGCGTGGTATCAGCTGGGGAAGTAGTTGTTTCCCGGCAGGCATTTATCAGAACCTATGGTGTAGGCAGTTGAGAGAGTACGTATGTATCTCTACTCGATACAGTCTTCAGATATATTCTAATAAGGATCTTACTTTTTTCAAAGTGGGAATTATAGGAATTTATTGGATTCTTTGTAGCAAACCAATGACAAATCGTAATTGACCGACATTTCGTATCGGCATGTAAACATTAAATTTCATCCATAACATAATGCATATTCCTAGTTATCGATAACAATTGAAAATGCGTATTGTGGAAGTTTTCTTCGATGCACATGCCTTTCATTTTTCGAATGATTATCAAAAGGTACCTTGTATTTATCGTATTATTCAAATCATTTTCAGTAATTATGTGCCGAAATATGTCTAGTATTTGACCATGGAATTCAGCTAACTCAGTATGTAGATTATAATTACTTGGTTAGCGACAAATAAGTGCTAGTGATAAATATTTATAAAACTTCTTGAAGATTCACTATTAAAATGGAACCTTCATCATGTGTTTCACAAGTCACAGAAAAATACTAGTATTACATTCGTACCTGAGATATAAATATCATAGTTGCGAGGGAATGCTACACAATGTAAATTTAACACAGAAAGTTACTACAAAATTCTACTGCGAGGAAAGTTTTAAACCTCTGCGTGAATTTTCAGAAGTCTTGGGTTCAACTATAAAGTAGTCTTCAACTTTCCATCAGAATCTCCCGATACGATCAACTCAATCCTTGAGCAAAACTTCACGACCATATAACATTGGAAGAGAGATGTTTGTTCAACCATAATGCATTGAGAATAAAGTGCTTGAAATAAGTTAATCGTATCACTTCAGAGCTAGTTCAAAAGTTTACCCATCTTCTTCCCTTTAAAAGCTCGAAAAAAATTCACCATGTCGTGTTTCAATATGTGTCTGAATCGTTCAATCATAAAGATCATATTATTATATCATCCTAATATTATAAATTCAGAGATACAAAGAAACGTTCAGTAGAAAATTCATAGAGATTTATGGAAGCCATGTTCTAAAAATAATTAGTAATATACATGGTACCCAAAAAATGTGTGTCAGATCGGATGTGTTTTTTCTCACGTTTTTTCTTGAAATTGTCTTTAAACATTTTTTGAATGTATGTCACACTTGCCCCGTGATAAAATGTTATTGGGGATAGTGTGACCTATTTGTCGGGGTAAGTGTGAACCTGTTTCATGTGGCCAGTCTGAATAGTGATATTTTTTCAGCTATGGTACGAAATTATGCTCTGAAATCTCAGAGAGCCAAACAATATACCACGGAGGCCTTAGAACATGCATTAGAAGAGGTCAAGTCTGGTACTTCAACGATTTATCGTACTCAAAAAAAGTATAATATTCCCAAGACTACTCTTTTTCATCACATGAAGGGGGTTCGAGGCAAAATTAGTAGAACTGTAGAATTGTTTCCGAATATGTTATCAATAATAATATCAAAACACCTTTCAAAAACAGTTTTCCTGGGGAAGACTGGTTCTTAAGATTCAAATCTAGACATCGCTTGAGTATCAAAAAACCCCAGAATGTTGAATATGCTAGAATGAAAATGACAGACCCGTTTGTCATCTATGAATATTTTGATACCCTCGAGAAAGCAATTAAGGACAATGAACTGTCCCTGAAACCAGAATTAATATGGAATCTAGATGAATCGTCCTTTTTACATGACCCAAAAAAATCTAAAGTTGTTGGAGCCCGTGGTCAACCTAGTTCCAGAACAACAAGCGGACCAGACAGAGAAAACACGACGATTCTCTTCGCTATTTCAGCTTCAGGTCTGAAGGCCCCACCACTCATAGTTTTCGAAGGAAAACACATTTGGGATAGCTGGATAGCTGATGAAAGGAATAGTTTCGAGGGAATGGCTTATGCTGCGAGTGCCAAGGGTTGGATGGAGGCGGATATTTTTTTAACTATTTCCAAAAAACTCTTATTCCAGTACTAGGCCAAGAAAGGCCAATTTTACTGATATATGATGGTCATAGTACCCATATGAATGTGAAATTAGTGGAGCTAGCTCCGCATACCTCACATCTCTTGCAACCACTTGATTTAGCTGTATTCAAGTCTCTTAAAGATGCTTGGGATAGGGAACTCGTCATGTGGCAAAGGCAAAATATTGGTCTTAAAAACCCAAAAAAGAAATTTTCAGAGTTATTGGGCTCAGTATGGAAAAATCTTCATTCTGATGTTATAAATAATGGTTTCAAGAAGGCAGGAATTGTTCCAATCATCAAAAATGTCATATCTAGTGAAGTATTCGATCCGGAATCTTTAAGGAGATGGGAAGATGAAAGAAATAAGCAGGGGTCCGTTGAACCAGTACCATCCACTTCCAATTATCAAGCCATCATCCACACTATTTCTATCAATGAACAAATCGATATTATTAGCTCTGCTCCCACAGCCCATAATACTGTTATCGAAAGAAGTGACAGTACCGTCGAAATTCATCCAAAACATCCGTTCAAACAACTGTTATTGAGAACGGTAAAACAAAAGACAACACCAGGTTCTTCTAAGAGAAAAAGAGTCGCAAATGGTGCGGAGGTCATAACTCACCCTGAAGTTATTCAGAGACTCATTGATGAAGAGAAAGAGAGGTTAACGAAATCAAAAAATAAAACGCAAAAACGACCGAAGAAAAGAAATAATGGAACCAAGGGAGTAGTTCCTAAGAAAGTCTCGACAAAGAGAAAAATCCGTATAAGTACGAGCAGTGAGTATTCAAAAGATTCAGATGATGTGATTAACGCTAACTCCGACGATGACTTAGACCCTGAGATATTTGAACAGAAGAAGAAGAGAAAGGGGTCGAATAAGGGGAGGAAGGAGATAAAAGACAGGAAGGAGAGAAAGGAGGAAAGGGAGAGAAGAGAGGTGAACAGTATGAGGAAAATACAAAGCTGAAGCTATCCTTAGATGAATGGGTTTTGGTGGAGTATAGAACCAGAAAATGTGTCAAACATTTTGTTGGGCTAATAACAAAGAAGACAAAGGATAACTTGTGGTATGTGAAATTTACAAAGTTCAGAGACAACCAGTTTACCTGGCCAGATGTGGAAGACATTGATACACTCTCTGATGATGAAATAACAACCGTACTTCCATCACCACTCGTCTCCAGATGGGGTTCAATGAAATTCCCATTCGATATTTCCGACTTCCATTTGTAATGTTTTTCTTTCCAGAAATGTTCAATGTTGAAAAGTTCATAAATATTTTTTGAATAAAGATACCTCAGAAAAAAAATTGTGGTGAAAGCTCTTTTACTGTTCATTCACACTTACACCAAAGAGAGATTTACGTGCATTGATAACTCCAAATTTGGCCAGAGTCACACTTGCCCCTAATTCCCTGCGAAATGTTACCTATGGTCTTGTATATATGAATTAATGAATAACATCCATGCTATATTTTTATTAATACTTTTCTGTGGCGTAGTATAAAAGTTGACATTAGAAGTGAATACGTGCAGAATTCCATTGTTCGATTATTTGAGGAGAAGATGTTGGTGTTCATCAAAGTACTGTGTCTAAGGTTGTGACGCAAGTTGCTGACCAAATAATAGAAAAATGCGCACATTGGATAAAATTTCCTTGCACTCCGGCGGATATAATAGCAGCTAAAGAAAGATAGCAAACAAAGTACACTTTTCCGTATGCTATGGGTGTGATCGATTGCACCCACATAAAAATAAAAAAACTACCTCTTCATAGTGATGAATATATAAATCGCAAAGGATATCAACGTTCAAGCAACTTGTAATGCAGATGAGTGGTTTACAAGCGTAGACGCATCATGGTCAGGGTCTGTCCATGATTCACGCATATGGAGTAACTCACAAACTTGTATTATTGCTAAAAATGGTTAATGGTGCCTTTTAGAAATCCAAATACTCTGGCACAGCTTGCTTATAACAAATTATTTACAAAGGAGCGTGTAATAATTCAACGATGTTTTGGCCAACTGAAACAACGATTTCCGATGCTTCAATATAAAGTTCGGGTGTCGATTGAAAATGTTCCAAAAGTTGTTATATGTTGTTTCATGTTACACAGTGTAGCTAAATATTTAAATGATGAACTCCATCCAATGGAGCCCCCAATACAAGATATTTTGGATCCGCTTCCCGTACGAAGGCGATCTGAATTAGCAGAAATCATGCTTGCTTTTACTTAAGGTAAGTAAAATTCAAGCAAAACAACACATTCATAATTTTTATCGTTAATATTTTTTCTGATTACTTTTACTTTGCAACAATTTACAAAAATATTTAAATATTACATATCAATGTAAGTTTTTCCGTTTGCATCTTCAACGATATCATTATTATTTGAAGTAAATTGTTCATTTGGATTTAGCTCCCTCTTCAGTTTTTGCTCCTTCATTTCCAAAACTCTCAGTTGTTACAGCAAAACTAGCCTTTGTAGTTCGGTATTTGAAAGTTGTTAGTATCGTTTGTCTCGTGTTTTTCAAGGAGGCTAATTTTATTGGGTTTCTTTTTTTTAGGTGGATTTATGTCACTAGCAGTATCATTATTTATGGTACATATTCTAGAAACAGGAGGCCTGCGAATTTTAGCTTAATGACTGCTGCCTGCGATTGTGTTCTTTGTTCTATACCGACAGACAATGCTCCTATTAAAATCAGTCTTTTTCTTGAGTCTGGATTTCATATTGATAATTTTTCTGTAGATTTGACTTGTTGTTATTTGTGAACCGAAATTAAGCTTCCGATGTATTCTCATCGCTTGACATTAACACACAATATTAAAAGAAAGATTTCAAGTTTTCCACAATAAACTTCTCGAAATCTTCAATTATACTTTTCCAATTCGAAAGATCAAAAACAAACATAAGGAACATTGGCTCACAAAAGGATTAAAGAATTCTGCAAGAAATATAAGATATCTGCATTATATCAGAAAATATGCAAATACAGATTCATTCCATAACTACTACAATATGTACAGATCAGTATATCGAAAGTTGATAAAGTTAGAAAAGGAAAATTATTATGAAAATCGCATTGACATTTCCACCAACAAATCAAAGGAGAGTTGGAAGATAGTAAATGATCTTGTAGGAAAAAAACCCAAAAAGAAAGTAGATTTGGAGTTGAATCCGAACACATTAAATGAGTATTATACTTCAGTTGCAGATGAATTTACAAAAAATATACCCGTAGCTTATGATCCACTAATAAATCTAGCAAACTTCAATTTTAATGAAAACCTAATCTTGTATGACACTAATATTGATGAATTGAAAGAAACGTTACATACAATTGAAAATAAAACCGCAACAAGATTTGATGACATTTCTGCTAGTATCTTTGAAAATCTTCCAGATAATGCTCTGAACCATCTAGTATCTCTGATAAATGGATCCTTCAAAGAAGGCATATTTCCACAGTTTTTCAAAACATCAATTGTCATACCGATCTATAAAGGTGGTGAAGTGAGGTCTCCTAGGAATTTTAGGCCCATTTCACTCATTCCTACGGTAGCCAAAATCATCGAAAGACTCGTTAAGAAAAGAATGTTTGACTTTTTGCAGGCGTGTGATATATTGAGCATCAAACAGTTTGGATTTCAGTGCAATGAGAACACAAATGATGCAATTTTTTTCACTTTTATATGAAATATATACTGGAGTCAATGATGGGGAAGTTGCGGCGGCTGTGTTTTGTGATTTATCGAAAGCTTTTGACTATGTGAATCATGAGATACTGCTGCGAAAGCTTCACCATTACGGATTTAGAAATAAGGCACATTCATGGTTTACGACATATTCATCTGACCGCACACAAGTAGTAAAAACAAAAACAATGTCAAGCTTATGTAATATACAATGTGGTGTTCGCAAGGATCAGTCTTAGGTCCAATTTTGTTTTTACTATATGTCAATGACTTGACGATGCTTGACATTTCAGGAAGTTTCACACTATTCGCCGATGATACCACCATACTATGGCATAAAGATGAGGAAGCCGATCTTCAATAGATCATCAATTCAGATATAATAAAGGTTAAAGAGTGGTGCGACTCAAACCTTTTATCCTTCAATATATTAAAAACCAAGATAGTGTCCTTCAAATGCGCAGTATCTGATATTTCTATCAACCACCAGATCATTGAAAACAGTGTGTTTTCTAAATTTTTAGAACTTTACATTAATAACGGTCTCAAATTTAATGAACATGTCAAAAACCTGTAAAAATTGCTGCAAACGAACTAGGTTACACAATCGCAAAGTCAGTATACTACTCCTTGATAGAGTCACATTTGCGATATGGTATCCCATTCTGGGGAGTGTGCAGTGGAAATGTTCTTCAAAGTGTTTTTGTTTTACAAAAAAGAGCCCTGAGATACCTCTGTAAATTGAAATTTCGCGATTCGTGTAGAGTTCACTTCAAGCAACATAACCTTCTCACGGTAGTGTGTATATTTATACTTGAAACACTGTGTCTCACATATAAACATAAACAAAATTCCATTACAGATAGTAGATATGCCACCCGCCAAAGTGACCATATCAAACTACCTTTACCATATGTCACTCTAGTTAAGGACTCCATTATATATAACGGCTGCAAGATGTACTACCTTCTTCCAAATTATATCAAAAATATACAGTTCAACACTGGCTTCAGAAAAGCTGTAAAAAGAGTTTTTTCCGATAGAACCTATTATAGTTTGGAAGAATATTATGCGGATATAATAGACTAATAATAAATATACCAAAACTTTACATTTTGATATCATATACCTACTATTGTTTGTTTTATTTTAAATTTTAAATGAGTGACTGATTGCTTTTTAACAATTCAATTTTATAAAGTAGTGACTACGTATACTAAGTAAATAATTATCTAAATGTTATTCATATAATTCAATTTAATTCATTTTATTTATACAGGCTTTGTCAACAGGATGTTATTCTTTGATAATAACGCATATTTTGATTGATTGATTGATTGATCAAGTGCTTTTGATTTTGATAGTCGGACATCTGGTATTTGTGACAAATCCCATTTGGGATTCTCATCCCTTATTACTTTCGTCTTCACTGCTTTCACTCATTGTAACAACAAGACAACGTGCTAATTAATTTCTCAAATAAAAGGCAATGCGGGAATATGCCAAATCCCTGCTACCTCCTGAACAGGCTCTGACAATTTCATAGAAATTAAATAGCGGGTATTTACTCTTATGTACTGTGAGCAGATACTCATCACATCGAAATATTTTTATTCATATGAAATGGAGTATAAACTCATACTTTATGCTTATACTCATGAGAACATACTCGGAGTTTATACTCCGGTATTATCGATACCACCCAATATCTCATTTCGAGCTATGTCAACTGAAGTGGATGGAAATAAAGCAAAACACTTTCTTCTCCTTCATTTTTCTCCTAGCCTCGTTGATTCATCAAGGTAGACCTGTTATTCACCTACACTACTACCTATACTATAGTGAGGACAGGAGCGGATCCAGGAATTTATTGAGGGGGATGCGTACTTGTGATACATTTCTCACTATAAATAAATTAAAATTAAAATGTTAAGTGAACATTATAAAGGTTACAAATGGTTTATTCGATTGAGTTAAGAGGACTCGTGAAGGAATCTGATTGTCGGTTGCGGTTTGGCAATGAGCAAGAGTGTAGGACTAGCTTAGGCCCCATAATTAAATATTTTTTGTGTTCTGTGCTCTGGCTGGATCCGCCAGTTATTGACGTTTCAAAACAATTCACAGTATCAACGCTTATTTTCGTTTTCTCGTTTCACTTTCTGATATCTCATTGTAGTTTACATTTTCGGGTTCCTCAAACTCAAGACTCGTACATCCCTTGAATGAGGATATCAAAATGCTTT